CATTATCATTGCTTGACGTCATCACGACATTGAAAGACGCCGATTATAATTAAATGGCACGATAATTTTGTACTCTATAGTCCAATTGAACTCATCGTCCAATATCTCTGATTAATTGATAAGAACAACACTATTTCCGCCATATCTTTAGAACATCGCGGATGATTAAAGGAAAGAACACAGCATGCTTCGTTAGCGTAACATTTTCAAATTATTTTCCTGTCAAACCAATCGATGTGATGAGAGTATTGCCTAATGCTAATTACATGTTTTAAGAACTGAAGTACATCCGTGTTTCTTGTTCGATGATGTAATGAATGTGTAATTAGCTTAATTGATAGCGGGGACAACTACAAAAGCATTCCTGACTAAGAACTGTATGACACTCAAACGATACGGTGAAATGAAATTAAGAGAAAAATGATAGGACATGTTTTGAGACTCAAGTCTTTGAGATCACAATTAGGTATAATCATGATAAAAGCACTTTTATACCGAAATGTATGATAACTGTTTAAGACAAATCCATATTTTTGTAGGTGTCATCACGTGTGTCTAACGTTCATCTTCCATTAAAACAGCCTTATACAAAAAAACATCGTTGAAAATACATTAAAAGTAAAACAAGAGAATACATAAGTATCATCGAATATGCAATTAGATTTTAGATTGATAAAACAAAAGATATGAACATACGAAAGATTTACATAGAGAATAAGAGCAGGTGGTCCAGGAAGGTAAGTGTCGTCTGCTTCATCGACGACCCCCGCCGTGTTAATCTAAATCAACATAAGAAAGAACCGGGTTACAAAATAAAGTTATGATCATAATTAAAAAACACACACAAACTTTCATTTTATACGAAACAAGACATCTCATAGGGATCTTGTCTCCCACAATCGTACCATCTGCATTGGTTCTTTGTAAGATTGATAACCATCTTGAATTGTCCAAATTCAAGATGGCTGTTTTGCGGTCATTTTTGTTTTTCATTCAATCCTAAAATGAAAAATGCACAGCTATTGACCATGGGAAACATACATTTGAAATTAGGGGAAGATCTGTCGAGTACTTCTTAAGAAATAGCGATCACCAACTTGAACTGTCAAATCCAAGATGGCTGCATGGCGGCCATCTTTTCTTGCCGATACGTTCCAAAATGAAACATACAGAGCTATGAACCAAGAGAAACGTTTGCATGAAATTTGGAAAAGATTTATCGAGTTCTTCTTAAAAAATGGCAATAGCAAACTTTACTCTCAAAATCAAAGATGGCTGCATAGTGGCAATCTTTTCTTGAAACGATTTAGATTTCTAATGACTTTTGAGATACATTTGAGAAACATCATCCGTATTTAATCTCATCAACTACATCAGATGTAATTACCAAATTAAATATAATCTTCACTTAAGTCTCAGTTGCCTGAACAAATTAATTTGAAATAGTAGATCGATCTAGGTCATTGCCGAGCGTTTAAGTAAGCCAGTGATATCGACCATTTAACGATACCTTTGTTTCTTACCTCGAATTTGGCTTTATCAAGGGTATCTTTGTGTTTATGAGTTAAAAAAATTGAACAATTTAGACTTGATGTGTTTATTGAGTGTTCATTTATACGGTCTTGTGTACTCGGTATTGAAAAGACTTTCTAAGATGGCGGTAGTTTGAGAAGGTCACAGGTTGGTGTGCTTTAAAAATCCGATTCTCTTGAATGCCAAGCCTTATTGGCTTTATCTTATTGGGGTTATTGAGTAGCTATAGCTAAAGATGGTTATCCACACTGCCGGTAGAGAAAGTAGAAGGAATATGTGTATTGGAGATCTCAATTTGATTATGTAAATAGAAGGGACAGTATCGATGATAAGTTAATTGGTGAATAAATATGAAGAAAATATGGATTCAAATAAATGTGATTTTTGTGACCCTTGCAAGTATTTCCATCATACATGTTTGTCATCGACTTTGAGAGATTGCTTGCTGTACAGATTCAACTTACTTACATATTCGGCGGAATGATATTGCCTTATAACAATTTATCAGCGGATAACACACAATAGTAAGAATTGGGAGCGGTCACATTTGAATAAAAAGTGAATAGTTTCTATATTAGATGATATCAATGTCACTCAATAATCAAAATAAAATAAAAAGAAGTAGTCCAATGGGGTTTGGCAGTCGAGAGAAACGGAATTTGAAAGCAGACAGCTACCTCTGTCGTTCTCGTACTGTCGCCATCAAGTGTCCTTACTGTTCACGAATGTGTTATATGTTTATCTATAAGAGCAGCTTGATATGAAAATTATGGAAGATTTTTGTTTTGTTTTCTATTTTCATTTTTAAAACAAATATTGAATTTATTAACTCCAATGAAAATACATGTTCCTTCAAGTCGATTATTTCTCCATATCCCACAAGTAAATAATTATAATAAAAAAAAATCACCAATCGATAATAGTAAACTATGCTTTTCATGTAACGAGTTAATAAACCATGTACAATCTACACCAAGTAACCGGCAGCTTTCATTTATCTTTTTTTTTTGAAATATTTTTATTTTTGAAGAATTTTTAACAGTACATAATACGTTAACAACTCATTTTTCCATACACATACCCACACTCATTCCATTTCTAGTCATTAGCAAAAATTCAACACTATAGCTTTCATTTATCTTAACAATAACTAGATACATGTATGACTATGAAAGAGAAGTAGGTGCGTATAGCATTTATTCAAACCTACACAACTATAAAATAGATTTATGAAATGGTGATGAATGTTCTGTTGTAATTGGACCTACAAAATACAGAATCGTGTATAAGAACGCCGATCGTCATTAACACTCTAAGACAAATGTCTTATTTTTCCAGTCATGATAGACACGGAAATCTCATTATCGTCGTAGCTGGGAATCAGGACTTACTGATGGCCATACAATTCCTCAGCGTAGATTGAAGAATCGCTGGTAGAAAACACTGATTACCAACAGATTGGTAGGACGTAGGGTCTTGCATCTGGAATCACAAGTTTTAACTCCATATGAAGTGGAGGTTGATAGGCTACTACTGAAAGAGTGTTAGCTTGGCTGGCTCACCCGGGAAACTACCCGCACGCAAAATATGAACATGGAAATTCTAACATAGAGAGTTTATTCAAAGAAATTAAGAATTGTTTAAAAAAAAAAGAGGATGTCATCATCATCAAACTTTATTTCCTCCAAAAAGGAGATATTTGTGTACAAGAAAAAAAGCAAAAATTACAAAAAGGACAGAAAATGCCGCGGTAGGGCGCAGCTAAAGAACTGTGTCCTCGCGAATGCGAGTAAAAGTCTTAGTCATGGTTTCTTAAATCATCCATTCACCTGAGTTCGCGAAGCGCGCACGACAAAGTATGCTGCATGCATCAGATACAGTTTTTGAGTTGTATCATCCTGATATTGGGGACCTGTTTTTGCACCTAATAAATTGTGAACAAAGGTAGCAGTGTCATGTTGATCAATATAATTGAACACATTCAATCCAAACTTATGCAGGGTCATCTGAAGAAAATGAGCCCGGAGTTCGCTGGTGTACTCGCAGGTACAGCAATAGTGAGATATGTTGGAAGAATTTGTCACTGATTTCAGTTTTGATACGTCAACCACAGAAAGGATATGCCTTTAAATGCACCTGCCGTTTATAACTGTGAATTGTTTGTACTAAATTTGTTTTTCATAAGGTATAATATCCATAGTGATCTTCCTGCTTTGATATTCTTCGTTTTTTATTATTATGTTTATTAATTCATTTAAAATTATTTCTACTTTTGTCGACCTTCAAGAAATTCGATACGTCACGAAACGGAAGATAATCAACAATTAAGGTTTTCCTGGTTCTAGTTATAACAATTATCAGCCTTCAATGTAAAAAAAAAATGATTAAAAGAATGTGTGTCCTTATCGTGTACCGTTTAGGTAATACGATATATAATCAAACACATGGCCATTAAAAAGGTGTGACAGAGAAATGTCGATTGCATGAAAAGACCGTTTAAATTTCTGCCAGTTTCCGCGTCACTGTAACCAATGAAGCGCTTTTATATAATATTCGGCCTCGAGCATCGTCATCCATACGTCCTAGAGACAAAGGAAACATTAACAAGGAAACCATTGAAAAAGGATCAGGAAGATAAGACCCAGTGTTCCGTTAGGGTAGGAACCTTCTGTGTCATACATGATACCCGCCATTTAAATCTTTGTCAAATTCAGGTAAAGTCACGTTCTCACATCGACACATTCTAGGATACAGTATGACATCTCATCCAGTGCTAGCTAATGATACCTTCAGAGCCACAGTACAGTATGAGGGCCCGTCTAGTCCTGAGACATAGACCTCGGGAGGTGACACGAAATCACAAGGCATTATGATGGCGTCCATAAAGCGAGTCCATATTTTTCATCAACCTGGAAATCCTGTGGCGTTCCTTTAAGTTAGTATGAGGTATGGTATTGTAAAGGGACGAAATGCTTTAAGTTGTATATCCAACTTCTTGAGATACAGTGTTATCATACGGCTGTAACTCTAATTTGTTGGTACTAAGAATGGCAGTGAGAAGTTTTGCTTGGCAAGCGACAGACAGACAGACAGACGGGCACGACGAAAGATAGATGACAAGTGGATCGACAGACGGGACGACAGACAGACAGGTTATAACATAAATCGAAAGGACAAGTAGTAAACTGGCCAACAGAGATACCAACTGTCAGGACGACGGGCACATCGACCATAAGACTGGCCAAAAGAGAGGACGAACGTCAGGACGGGAGATAGACCAACAGATCAACAGACAACAAGACAGAAAAACAGGCCAATAGCAGTGGCGGATCCAGAGACATAGGGTGTGTGTGTGTCCAATTTCAGGGGGGAGGGGGGTTTCCAAGTGGAAAATGGAGAAAATACATAATTTGCTAAAAAAATGCTCAGGATGGGGGTGGGATGTCGACAGACAGAACGATAGACGGGTTGACAGAGAGGCCGAAAGACCAACAGAGAGGATTAAAGACTAGATGGCAGCCAGACAGACAGACAGATAGACAGGCAGGACGACAGACAGACCAACAGCAGACAGTCAGGACGCCAATATGACGGAAGACAGATCGACAGACACAACGACAGACTGAACGGTAGACTGACAGCCATGCCGAGAGACAGGACGTCATTCATAATGTCCTCCTGATCAGCACATTGGACACAAAATTATGCATATTTACCGTATTTCCGGTGATTGTTTTTCAATATAACCTGTATGGGGAAGTTGGATGTCTGTAATTAAAGTCCCGACAGGAAGATTTGTTAAATATGTGTGAAACCTCCCTACACATCAGTCACTATACGAAACACGATTAAAGGTAAGATGACATTTTAGATTTTATATGGTATTTGTGGAACGACTCTCAGAAGTTTTTAGTTACATGTTTAAATATGTAGTCATATAATAAATCAATGTGTGATTTGTGTGTTGGGGTGTGTTGGGGTGGGGGGCAGTCTTTCTCACCACTACGTTTGTAGTGGTGAGAAAGACTGCATGTTTCTTGTATAGACAAATTGAGTCTATTATATGTAGGTATGTAGGATATCGATATTCTACACGAGGGTGAAGAAGTCGGGTCAGAACCGAGGCTGTAACGTCATAATAGTACAGGTCACCGAGTGCACCAATGTGGGATACACGTATCCGACAATGGTGATCCGCATTGGTCACGTGTGAAATTCATTTTCAATTAAGCACGAATGAAGTTTTACGTATTTTGTTTTTTTCATTTGACAGATTGTTGTTACTGATTCTGGTGTAAATGCCATTCGGCCTGTATATTCCTGAACATTTTCTAATCTTGGTGATATATTAATTCAGTCATAACACAGCTGATAATTCGATTAAAACAACATGGCCTCCTTTGAGATGAAATCGAGATCGGAGGATACACAAGAAATCGAGAACAATAACCAAAACCAAAGAGAACCGGAAGTCGAGTTGGAACAAAGCCTGAAGCATGCGCTGCAGCAACACTTTCGAAATCCTTTCGCTGCTAGCTGTAGCGGCTGTAAAGTAGGCAGACCTAGTGAAACTCCAGTGAAGCTGGCAGTGCTCGCCATCAAACTGTTATTCGTCATCGTTACAGTTAAGTGAAATTTATATGGAAATATCTTAAATGTATATGAATTCACGGTAGTCTATTGGTAGGACGCCGGTCTCGTGGCCTAAGGGTTACGGGTTCGAGTCACGTCACGCAACAGTGCTGTATCTTTGGACAAGATATACTTTACTCCGCTTGTTCAAGTCTATGCAGCTGTAAATGAGTACGTGGTTGAGCAGCGTTTGAATTGTCGAATATGATAGCTGCATGTGAGCGCCGAAATGGCAGCACCGGCTGTCTGCTCTCCAGGGAGCCGAGAAAGCTATTGGCTTGTTGCAAAGGCCGTAGAACCAAGGATAATAATTTGTGAACCGCTTTGAGACAACCTACGAACAAGGTTGTGATAAAGCGGTATATAAGAACCTCGAATTATTATCATTTTTAATGAGTAGATTCTTAATGGGGAAATCTTTGTGTTCAAATTTGTATCATTTGAATGAATTGAAGCATTTTACATATTTCTGTCTAAACAGGAACTAATAAACCTTCAAAATATCGTTTATATTTAAATCAAAATTAAAATTCTTTAATCTAGTTGAGCTTTACAGTTCTCTCGAGTATAACATCACGTACATGTACATCACATCAACATGGTATGTGGGTTACTATATACACACTTCATTTCTGAAGGATTGTAAAAATCTGTACATTCAACATGAATTTATAATTAGACACAATCTTTATAATAACAGATGTAAGTGAAATATTCTTACTTGTCAAAATATAGCATGAACTCGTTGACGAAAGTGAAATAAATCAAATATCAAAATAATGGATTAAATTGATGACGTAAGTGAAATATATCTATTATCAAAATAATGGTTGAAATTGTTGACGAACAACATATTTACTTACCAAAATATTGCATGAAAACCTTGACGTGAGTATTTTTATTTTTATTTCAATGATGACTGAAATTGTTGATGAATTTTCCTTTATATTATTTTCCTGATTATTAATTGTTTCGTGTTTAAGTTCATAACATGAAGAAATGAGAAATCGCGGTAACAAATACTAATCAACAGAGGGAAGCTTGAAAGACAGCATCTTCGCTAGCCAAGTGTTCGCTTCGTATACACTCCACTTACGAAGCGAACACTTGGCTAGCGAAGATGGAAAGACAGGTGATTTCATAAATTGGAAGTCGTCATGTTAATTGTTATGTAAAATGCATAGCTACAATATACAATATTATCAGTTGCAGTTTCGTGTACGAAATGTTATTAAATCGTTAATTCATAAACAAAAATACTTCATTATATATTCCTTGTTGTACATGTGTACTGTACACAAGCAATCACAATATGATATTATTAATTTTGCAGTTGGCGCATTTTGGAAATCAACGTGCCAGTTTTGCCAAATATATTGACAGAAACAATCTGGCACTGAAGCGCTTGTTACTACTGGACTGGACAAATCTATTCGAGACTATGCCCTATCCTCCGGCCACCGGACAATACGCCCTGTATAGTATAGACGAATTAATGGCACATCTCAACCACACCGTTCACAAGGTCAGTCTGGGTCCGGGCACCAGGGACATCAAAGGCAAAGTATCTTAATAAAACACATAAATCATTCAATGTAGCGAAAACTAATAACTCTTTACCTCAGTGTTAAATTTGATATCGTTATATTGCCGATGTTAACCTGACGGTATTCTATACCTCAGTGTTAGGTGGGAACTCTTTCTCTAATCTCTGATATAATTTCCTCGAATGTATCACGCTTGACGGCGCCTTAATCATTCTTAATACATTCTAATATTACTGTGATGGTGTTTTTTTTATATTTTCTATTACTTTGTTTATTTTTTTTTCAGTTTTTAAATCCATTTTATGATTTATGCTTGCTTAAATGTTATTTGAATATAACATTGCTGATTGTTGCACTTTTAAAGGTATCTAAACCAACTTCCTTATACACTAGGCTATCTATATGCTTTACCTGGCAATAATTCTGAGAATTATAATTAAATTTATTTCAGGAGATTAATTTTGCATTGCGTTCAGACAGCACCTAATAATACAGGTATGATCTCTAAGCTAGGTTGGGTGTATCTATGAATGCAAGCTGTATTTCTGATGTTTTAGAGTAAAAACACTGAGTTCTATTTGCACTGGTGAGTTTTTATTATGCTGACAATTATGTCAGAATATCAAAAACTCGTCAGAAGCCCAACAAGCATGGACCCAGTAGAGAACATTGCGGCACTCGCTGTTCCATTCGTGTCCTTTGTCCGTCAAATATGACTGAACCAAGAGAGTGCGTCAAGTGAAATGCTCTAATATGCCAGACATTAGAACAATATGCCATGGAATATGCAATAACAAGAAACGTCCAATTAGACACATAACTTAGGAAGTAAATTATTAATCTGCACTACATATATATTCTGTATAACTCTATATATTCACGTGTTTCGTAGGTGACTACTTTACCTATGACGTCAGTAGGGTCATTATTTGTGAGTAGTGACGAGGATCACCCTGTCAATATTTGTGTGGAGTACTACGATACGGGCATATACAACAGGACAACGAAAGACATACAGTTTGATCAGACTAGGAGGAAAGGTGAATCACTATAGGGAAAAGAATTATATAAATATTTATACTAAAATTTGAATATTGAGTTCGTTTTGTCGGGTTTTTCATCATCATCGGGGTTTTTTTTTTTTAAATATATGGCAAAGTTAAGTAAAACAAGGAAAAAGGAAAAATATACATTTTGTAAATGCGTTAAAGTTGAAACATTCCAAAAAAAATTATATACTGTCAACGTACTTATTTTAGCGCACCCAAATTCAATTGATATACTGGCGCACCCAAGAAACTTCAATTTGTGCATTCATAATTTAGCGCGATAATTAAAACACAAAAAACGAGAGAGAGAGAAAAAACCAATAACGCTAATATATGTACCATCACTGTACTATATAATTGGAAAGAGAAATGTTGAGGGTTTAGAAAGTATTAGACGCAAAACCAATCCTTATAGTTCTAGCCATACTGTCATTTCAGTGTGTCATGATATTGGTATTAACGACACTGACAACTACAACCTTAATCCAACCATCCCAGAACTGATGCGAGGCGAAGCCGGAGCACTTGTGAGGTATGTGAAATATTTAATAACCATTCATATTGATAAGGCGAAAGTAATCTTTTGGTATCTTCACTGATACACAAGTAAAAATTTCATGTTTAACATTTGATGATGTAAGGTAAGATCAGCTTGATGTCTGAATCCACCTCAGAACAACAGCAAATTTTGTCAATTGTACAAATAAGGATCTCATTACAAAACACGAAACTTATATTTCCATTTCCTGAACTCGTCGGAAGAAAGTGGCAAATAGGAGAGAAAATTAAAAAAATAAAATTGAAGACGACACATTTTCGTTTGAACACACAGACAGAAAAATTGAAGAAAAAGTGTATGGATAATGACAACGCCGATGATAGCATATCACTCCCCAAATAAATAAACGCTTTAAAATCTGGGAGAGGGCCTAGTAAGTTGTAAGAACTTGTGCCCAATCCCTTTGACTATTCAGTGTCAGTAAAATATGTTTGAAGGAATGAACGCTATAACACGTTAAAAACCCCCACAACAAATACATCTTTTAATACTGATAAACCGTCCTTATTTGACATATGTTTTTGTCAAATCCCCTTACTCAAGCCAGGATTAATGCTTTGATATCCCGTATAAGGATAGGTAAGGTTTAATTTCTTCTTTACAGCCAGGGTCATATAACGAGTCTGTCCAGATGGTGAAGACAGCACTAAAATGTATACTGCTTATTGTGGTGGAAATATTATGTGTGACTTCGTATCGTATAATTGTTTGAAAGCTTAAAAAAGTGGTGCTGAACATTTCAGTTGTTTAACCAGCAGATATGTATATAGACTGGAAGGACATTTAATTTGTTTTAATCCAGTTCAAGAATATATATCCGCTCAAGAAATGTTTTGGTAGATCAAACAACTAAATGGCAGACAGTATGAAGAAGGTAGCAATGATAAATGAGCGAATGCAAGCTTAAAGTTGAGCAAAGGTTGTTTATTGAAGCTAATATATATATAAAAAAAACTTATTTTACAATATACTATGCATTAAAACTTTAAAATTAGGATAATTAGTTTTCGTTTAGCATTTTGTGTCCACCAACAGTTAATGTCAGCACTTGCGCAATATAATCGGGTTGCTATGGAAAGGGTCTTGTAACACAACCAATAAGTGTTTCTATGTGACGTTTCGATAACGGTATGTACTCTGTCACCTTCATCAGAATAATGGGTACGAGTTGTCCACAAATCAATATCGATTCGGCTACGCTGTAAGCTTATAAACGATTAGTTGTTTTATATGTGAAATAACTCGATTCAGCTAAGCATACACTTATTGGTTGTGTTGCAAGAACCTTTTCATAATCCAACCTGAAAAAAATGTTTGGAAAAGGGCTTTTGAGTCGTGTTGATATTGTGGCCTCTGACTGGTATTGGGATCTCGGGATGATATTAGCTAGGGTCTTTGACCCAGGTTGATATTGTGGCCTCTGACTGGTATTGGGATCTTGGGATGGTATTAGCTAGGGTCTTGGACCCGGGTTGATATTAGAGTTTCAGGTTAAGAAAGAGTGTGTTATTGAATGACATTTTAGTATTCCCATTTTATTGACTATCACATGATGCCAACTGGTTCGAGAACTTGAATAAAGTGATTAACGTATTTTAGCTAGGCCCTTATTTTCTCCCCTTAGATTGATCCACCTACAAGTTGAGTTTGCCGTGGATTCCATTCATGTAGACATGGAGAAACCCGATATCAGCCCAAGATGCTTCCACATCCAAGGAAAGGTATAATCATTGATATAAAATATGTAACGTTAATTTTATTTTTATCTTAACTTCAAATTTTAGGCTGATTTTGTAATAAATGCCATGGGAAATGGTCTGTTCCTCTGAATAGAACCTTTTTTCTTGCATTACAAACTAATGGAAAGTCTTATCTTAAGAGAACTTTTTTCTTTTCATATAAAGCCTGTATATGACTCTCAGCATGTTAAAGACGCAATAACTGTGAATTTTTAAGAAACAAAAATCTTTTACTCACGAAACTTAGTTGATAGTCCCATGTGTTCATGTAATTTGTCTACTGAAACTACAGAACATTTCCTCCTCCAATGTCCTGACTACCAGCAGCTGAAAATCCAATGTTTTAGTCGCCTACCTCCTAACTATAATGTAAGCTTTTTACTTTATGGTAGACCCGAACTACCAATTCACTTAAACGAGACTATTTTTGACTGTGTTCAAAACTTCATCATTCAGTCTAGACGTTTTTAAAGAAAATTTAACTTCATTCATATCAGTAATCATGTTTGTTGTGGTGATACTTGCAATTACTTGAATATCGCATTGGTCTGCGTAGAGTGTTACAGATCCTTAGTGCCAGTTCAGAATTGCATTTGTAGTTTTAATTTGTTTTCATAACATACTACATAAACTTTCCACAACATGTACAGACACAGCGCTCTTTCATCAAATATCGTTTGTACTCATGCAATCAGCGTTTGTTCTCTCAATGCAGTTTTAATGCCCATCGCTTCCCCATCAAACATAATCCCCATCCCACTATAAATCCTTGCACCCTTTCTCTTTCTTTTCCCTGCACATGTTATACTTTATATGTATATATATTTATATGAATTATAATATTGTCAGTACTGATCCATAGCTGTTGTTATGTCTATAAGGAGACGGATTTACATAAGTACTATGTACTTGTTTCTGGATCCTTTTCTGTATTTATAACCATGTACTATTGTAATTTAACATCAATAAAATAAAGTTTAAACTAAAAATAAATCTTTGAAGAAAAGCTCATAGCAATGAAAAGTTTCAAACTAAAACGAAACATGGTTATTTTGTTTTTCTTCTTCAATGTTATTCTTCCAGCTAACTTTAAACCTATAGAAAGGAAGGTCATCTCTTAAATAAGATTATGTATTAAATCATGGATAGTTTATTACAGCGCGCTGGTAAAACATTCATATATCATCATAGAAATGTATTTACAATCTGTACATTACAGATATTGTTCGATAACTCGGATATCAATGGGCAGATGCCTGTCCGACTCGAGTCAGACGTGTTGGAAATGGTGTGCACACTCAACGGAGCTGTGACTAGTCGGAGTAGGTATTTATGATAAGGATTTTTTTTTCAAATCTTTAAAACTTACTTGAAAATATAACTCATCAAAATATAAACGCCATTTAATAGTTGTAATATGATAAAAATATATTTTATCTTCCTCGGAAAAAGGTTTTGAAAATTTGGCTGTGTTTCCCTTTCATTTGGTTTAACATCCTCGCGTTAGGCTAGGTCAAAAGAAGACGGAATTAGCTCAGTAGTATGGCTAAACAATTTGTCCGGTATGAATTATTCGCCATTTGCATTGTTCGGGTACTCTGCCAAAGTTCTCTTGGGTTTGTAGGTGACGTCAGTGCGTTTGTCCTGTGCAGCTTCAGTATCCTGTTCACGTCACTAAGTCTAGTGTTCTGTTTGTGTTCTGTGGTTAAATCGGTATCTCTGTGCTGCGTAAGTGTTTTCACGATAGTATTACGACATCCCTATCATAATAGTACTAATAAGTAATGTCGGGCAAACAGTCCATAACAGCTTAACTATATATATATAGAATCTTACAAGAGTTTCCATTTCATGAGATTTATGAAACGAGTCTAAGTCTAAGACTCTGGCGAGCTAAACTGAAAAATTCGTGCCGAGTTTCATAAATTTCACATGAAATAAAACGAGTGTGAGATCCTTTTTATAACATAATCAAGATTTGTGGCATTTATTCGTGTAAAACGACAATTTTCATGCAACCTTGACATTTAAGAAGCCGCCATTTTGACTCCAGTGCACAAGTCTGTGACGGAATGTACTTGTCCTAGGCGTGACGTCACAATTGAAAATATTGAGGGCTGATATGTCATATTACATGGGTTAGTACGCAAACCATGGGTATATTTAGGGGATAGTACGTTGTTTTGAGCTCCGTAGTAAAGTAGTCTCTGACCTGTGGCGGCGACGTGTCATTCTGCAGCGGTCTGACCAATCAGAAAGAAGCTTTCAAAAGTCGGTCATTTAGCCCCGCCCATAATTGCGAGCATTCCATCTGTACGTCCTGAATCCTGTTACCAAAGTTTATACGACACATTTGGATTAATATTGAACAAATTCTAACATTTTCATGTCGGTATGCATTCCAATCTGTGTGTATCGACACAATCGATGATTATTTGTTAACATCTTAGACTGAAGTCGAGTTTTGTGCAAAATTCATACGACACATGTAAAATGTTTCGTTTGATTTCGGATGTAACTAGATGCCTACACACGGATGGAACGAACGTTTCAGTAATAAATGAAGTTAAGAACAAGGAATATTTATGATTTATTCTCAATTTATTCAACAAGTACATTGCAAAGGTCCTTTCTGTTCTGTTGTCAGCGGGACCTGCTTCGACGACACTTTAGACCGTAAACTTTGCCATAAAATACACCAAAACATTACTAAAATGGTGAATTACTGTCTTTACAGACACAATCGTTCAGATGTAATAATTGTAAATGTTAACATTTGAATTGTGAATGGCAAATTGTCCAGTGAGTTTTTGTGAGTTCTGATGAAGGACAAGTTGACTTTGTTGTGTGACGTCAGACGGTTGAGGGCAAGGTCGAACGTTTTGTTGTTGACGAACCAGCTGATTGTGAAGGGGGGTATTGCACTGTTGAGGACGTGGCCTTGGGTAGGTTGAGTCTTGACGTACAACTGCTTTGCCTTGGAGAATATCAGAGTGTTGACGTTTTTGGGAATCTGAACTGTCAGAGTTATAATGTTTCAGAGACGACTCGTTACGGTGACCTAAAATTCACATGATAGCTCTAGACTCTACTCCTGCGTGCGACGAAACTGTGATTGATGTAGCACGAACACAAAGGTTGGTGTATGAACGATTAAGGGATGCTGTGCTGGAAACAGTTTTCATCATATTGTTAAGAGTATTTATGCCTAACGGTTTGTTTTGGTACCAAACGGAATCCGTGCAATGTACCGCATGTTTTGGTTTTTGAAAGAATGCGTCGCATTTCGGATTTAACTTACTGATGTAAGTTTTCAACGACTGCACTGGACAGTCAACATCGTCCGATGCGTACATACGTGGTTTTGAATTTTCCTTTTCATTCAAATCACCAGGGTGGGTTCTTTGTTGCCTCGTTATAACCTAGCTCTACATATTCTCTACCTGTGTCGTCAACTTTGAACAAAAATGATTCCTGTTTCAAATTTCTTTGATTTTCATTGCCACGCCGTGCAAAATTATAGGTCAGGTCAAACTACGCCTTTTGTAGAAGACCACTTGGTTGTTTTTGTGCTTGCCAAAGGTAGTTTTGAAGTGTGGACATATCACCATCGGATATATCCAATGTATCCAATCAAAAATAAAACCGAGGTGCAGGATGATCGTGTGCTTTATTGCAGGAGCTGAAGGTCTTTAAACTCTATGTACTGGATTATTTAAAGTTCAAAACCCGAGTGAAAAATAATGATGTTAGAGAGTTTATCGGCTTCGACTTTTCTAATTTTGCGTTGACGCCGATACTTCATTCTGTTTTACATTATTTATAGTAAAAGTACCTTTGAACGTAAACTCTTATGTTCGCGCATCGGCGACATTATCCAAGTTATGCATATCACGATTTAATTTTACATTTATACATATTATGTAACAATCAGTAATACAGTGAAAATTGTCTAGCGATTATCATTACTTAGCGCTTTCTAATAAGCATGATAATTATTCATACCGTTATTACCGGTAACATATTAAGCACGTTTACTGTATAACACAAACTGAATAATAAGAGAAGTTTCTCACTTTTTTTTATCTCTAAAGAAGACGAGAAAATACATCAAGACCAAATTTGACACTCCTTTATCCCTGTCGGAGCAATTGGAGATTATCAACGCGAGAGAGCTGGTAACCATGGTGGGGGACGCGATCATGTTGACTGGACTTATCCTCTACATCGTACTCAACTCGAGGGTAGGCACATGTTTTAGTTCCATATCACCGCTGAATGATGGAAACGGCATAGCAAACCTAGTAATCGGACGATTGGCATATAAATAGGGCATGTATATGTGTAATAAAAGGTGGTTGAACTGTGTTTTATAAACTTTAAGTTACTTGGTCCGTGCGAAACAAATGCTCCCCCACTTTTCCAAGGTTATTTTTCCCAATTCACTTCCTTATCAACCACTCCTACGTCTCGCATACTTATTTCTATTGTATATATGGCAAAGTGCACTTTTTCGTACTTTCGATTTTCAGAATTTTCAAGGTGGAAACCTTTAATAAATCTGTCTATATGTTCAACACAAGATACAGATCATTTTAACATGTGTCCACAAAACTTGTGCCACTTGTTAACAGTGTGAAATCAAATTTGGGAATTTGTTCGTTTGTTTGTATTTCTGTTAAAAAGAGTCATGTTGTTGTTGTGCATGCAATTTATGTCAACAATTCGCTACAACAAGTAACATTGTCGCTATTTCCCTTTTGTAGGCTAACCATTTTATCAACTATGAGTGTATAGCATTAACTCCGTCATAGTAACGAGCACCGCCTCTGTTTGTTATTGTTGTGTTTAGGTGATGAGTTCATCCTCCTTCCTGTACGATCTATGTGGTGTCCTGCTCGGCTCCAGCTTCATCCTGATCTGTTTCGGGGCCCTCCACTTCCTCTCCTTCAACAAGGGCTTCCATGTGTGTACCTGTTTACTGCCGTGATAAGTCTGCTGCTGTAGGACGACGACAAGCGCTTGGCTGAGCTTCACCTCAAGCTTAACTTTCAATATTTCCAAATTTCATGAATACATTAATTAAATAATCTGTAACAATGTCCCTTAAGTTAAAGCACACCATCAAGTTTAAATATCCCTGGGTAGTAATTAAAAAAATATATTTGGTTAAGTTCTTTTCTACAGAAATGTTCCATAAAACAGCTCATTACGAGTGCATTTAACAAAGTATTCAAAAGTTAATAAATATCAAAGGCTACAACGATCGAACCCTATCCACCACCAATCATGCAGAGTATCAAAATGAGAGATGGAAACTTTTACAAGGGAAATTACTCCAAGCCAGAATTGATTCTGTTGGTTACTTCATTCTCCATTTATAAGGGGACAAACTCAAAGACGAAAAATCTTTTAACTAATCTTGATATTATTACCGATGCCGTGGTACCCTTTACTTTATTTATTATATCTTAAACGTCTATGTCTTCAATATTTCCCAAATCTTTTACAATTTTACACTGACTATCACAAAGACATAGATCACTCTGATATGTGAGGTCTTAAAGAGTTGTATTGAACGTTTATTCAATGTGCTGATATTATTTTCACTATAAGTGAGGTTGTATATTTGCAAAATGCTTGTATCAAATCTGTAATATGTCAAATTTTGTTGTGATTTACAGATTCTTTTCGATGTGATGGAGAATTCATTACTCCCTGTGTTCCGGTTCCTTGTATGTGCGGCGATACTGTTCATAGCCTTCGCTCTGTGTGGCTGGATGGTGATGGGACCATATCACATCAAGGTACATGATATTAAAAGTCAAACATTTATAAAATAATTTACATCATATCATCATGGTGCATAATTTATCCCCTGTCAACTAAATCTATTTTACCATATATAGCAGTGTTCTATTAAGGGACATAATCGGGCGCGCAGGTGTAAGCAAATAAGTAGTTGCATGCATCACAGATATCCTCAAATGTACTATTTGATTTGTATGTATTGTGCAAATCGAATAAGCGATTTAATGTATGGTATCAAAAATAAAAATAAAGTTGATTCTTTTGTCCATTATGGTAAATAAAATACATGTACCTCAATATTAAATAAATTTATGTCAAATATTGCTCTCAAAAGCCACCAAAATCTGCGTTCGCCAGTTTCAGACAAAAAGAATCGACTAATCAATTATTTCAGACGTTGGCGGATGTATAGAGAATGTGAGGATGTCAAAAGTTTAGAAAGCAGTTTTCTATTGCCGATTTCAGTTAACGTTTAAGAAATGTTACGGCATGACCTTATTACCACTTTTCCGATTTAAGCGCCTTGATTATTGGTGTCTTGCACACTTTCCAGAATTCGATGACATCAAGATGGTCGGAAATGAAACGATTCTAGAGGATCATGGCCGTTCATTATTTCCTTTATTTTTTGTTAAACTTTTTTTCCTCTATCACTGTGTTATCTTAATTATCAATTATGCGTTTGGGTTTTGCCCAGTGTATTGACGAATTTTGTTTACTTACTTCGATGATAAAAACTTTAAGATGAATAATCTCAAATATCATTCAACTTAATATAGTTATGCCGTATGACGTTAAACTTTTTTGAAGTATAGATAGAAACAAAAATAACTATCAATTCAAGCAAATGTGGTCTTATTGCAGTTCACGTCGATCTTCAGCACGTTCCGGTGCCTGTTCGGACTGATTGCCGGAGATGAGATATACGTGACGCTAGCTGCCATTGAAGACGAGTTCTCGTTCCCATGGTGGTTCTGTGCTGTCTTTGTCACACTTTACATCACAATATTTACTATCGTGGCGCTCAACATTCTCATCGCCATCTTCACGGCCAGCTATGACAGCATAAAGGTAGGTAATCTTCACGGCTAGCTATGACAGCATAAAGGGAGGTAATCTTCACGGCCAGCCGCTATGACAGCATAAAGGTAGGTAATCTTCACGGCCAGCCGCTATGACAGAATAGAGGTAGGTAATCTTCACGGCCAGATATGACAGCATACAGGTAGGTCATCTTCACGGCCAGCCGCTATGACAGCATAAAGGTAGGTAATCTTCACGGCCAGCTATAACAGCATAAAGGTAGGTAATCTTCACGGCCAGCTATGATAGCATAAAGGTAGGTAATCTTCACGGCCAAATATGATAGCATAAAGGTAGGTAATCTTCACGGCCAACTATGGCAGCATAAAGGTAGGTAATCTTCACGGCCAGCTATGATAGCATAAAGGTAGGTAATCTTCACGGCCAGCTATGACAGCATAAAGGTAGGTAATCTTCACGGCCAGCTATGACAGCATAAAGGTAGGTAATCTTCACGGCCAGCTATGACAGCATAAAGGTAGGTAATCTTCACGGCCAGCTATGACAGCATAAAGGTAGGTAATCTTCACGGCCAGCTATGACAGCATAAAGGTAGGTAATCTTCACGGCCAGCTATGACAGCATAAAGGTAGGTAATCTTCACGGCTAGCTATGACAGCATAAAGGTAGGTAATCTTCACGGCTAGCTATGACAGCATAAAGGTAGGTAATCTTCACGGCCAGCTATGACAGCATAAAGGTAGGTAATCTTCACGGCCAGCTATGACAGCATAAAGGTAGGTAATCTTCACGGCCAGCTATGACAGCATAAAGGTAGGTAATCTTCACGGCCAGCTATGACAGCATAAAGGTAGGTAATCTTCACGGCCAGCTATGACAGCATAAAGGTAGGTAATCTTCACGGCCAGCTATGACAGCATAAAGGTAGGTAATCTTCACGGCCAGCTATGACAGCATAAAGGTAGGTAATCTTCACGGCCAGCTATGACAGCATAAAGGTAGGTAATCTTCACGGCCAGCTATGACAGCATAAAGGTAGGTAATCTTCACGGCCAGCTATGACAGCATAAAGGTAGGTAATCTTCACGGCCAGCTATGACAGCATAAAGGTAGGTAATCTTCACGGCCAGCTATGACAGCATAAAGGTAGGTAATCTTCACGGCCAGCTATGACAGCATAAAGGTAGGTAATCTTCACGGCCAGCTATGACAGCATAAAGGTAGGTAATCTTCACGGCCAGCTATGACAGCATAAAGGTAGGTAATCTTCACGGCCAGCTATGACAGCATAAAGGTAGGTAATCTTCACGGCCAGCTATGACAGCATAAAGGTAGGTAATCTTCACGGCCAGCTATGACAGCATAAAGGTAGGTAATCTTCACGGCCAGCTATGACAGCATAAAGGTAGGTAATCTTCACGGCCAGCTATGACAGCATAAAGGTAGGTAATCTTCACGGCCAGCTATGACAGCATAAAGGTAGGTAATCTTCACGGCCAGCTATGACAGCATAAAGGTAGGTAATCTTCACGGCCAGCTATGACAGCATAAAGGTAGGTAATCTTCACGGCCAGCTATGACAGCATAAAGGTAGGTAATCTTCACGGGCAGCTATGACAGCATAAAGGTAGGTAATCTTCACGGCCAGCTATGACAGCATAAAGGTAGGTAATCTTCACGGCCAGCTATGACAGCATAAAGGTAGGTAATCTTCACGGCCAGCTATGACAGCATAAAGGTAGGTAATCTTCACGGCCAGCTATGACAGCATAAAGGTAGGTAATCTTCACGGCCAGCTATGACAGCATAAAGGTAGGTAATCTTCACGGCCAGCTATGACAGCATAAAGGTAGGTAATCTTCACGGCCAGCTATGACAGCATAAAGGTAGGTAATCTTCACGGCCAGCTATGACAGCATAAAGGTAGGTAATCTTCACGGCCAGCTATGACAGCATAAAGGTAGGTAATCTTCACGGCCAGCTATGACAGCATAAAGGTAGGTAATCTTCACGGCCAGCTATGACAGCATAAAGGTAGGTAATCTTCACGGCCAGCTATGACAGCATAAAGGTAGGTAATCTTCACGGCCAGCTATGACAGCATAAAGGTAGGTAATCTTCACGGCCAGCTATGACAGCATAAAGGTAGGTAATCTTCACGGCCAGCTATGACAGCATAAAGGTAGGTAATCTTCACGGCTAGCTATGACAGCATAAAGGTAGGTAATCTTCACGGCTAGCTATGACAGCATAAAGGTAGGTAATCTTCACGGCTAGCTATGACAGCATAAAGGTAGGTAATCTTCACGGCTAGCTATGACAGCATAAAGGTAGGTAATCTTCACGGCTAGCTATGACAGCATAAAGGTAGGTAATCTTCACGGCTAGCTATGACAGCATAAAGGTAGGTAATCTTCACGGCTAGCTATGACAGCATAAAGGTAGGTAATCTTCACGGGAAGCTATGTGTATAAAGGTAGGTAATCTTCACGGCTAGCTATGATAGCACAAAGGTAGGTAATCTTCACGGCTAGCTATGACAGCATAAAGGTAGGTAATCTTCACGGCTAGCTATGACAGCATAAAGGTAGGTAATCTTCACGGCCAGCTATGACAGCATACAGGTAGGTAATCTTCACGGCCAGCTATGATAGCATACAGGTAGGTAATCTTCACGGCCAGATATGATAGCATAAAGGTAGGTAATCTTCACGGCTAGCTATGACAGCATAAAGGTAAGTAATCTTCACGGCCAGCTATGATAGCATAAAGGTAGGTAATCTTCACGGCCAGCTATGACAGCATACAGGTAGGTAATCTTCACGGCCAGCCGCTATGACAGAATAAAGGTAGGTAATCTTCACGGCCTGATATGACAGCATACAGGTAGGTCATCTTTACGGCCAGCTGTGATAGCATAAAGGTAGGTAATCTTCACGGCCAGCTATAACAGCATAAAGGTAGGGAATCTTCACGGCTAGCTATGACAGCATCAAGGGAGGTAATCTGCACGGCCAGCTATGATAGCATAAAGGTAGGTAATCTTCACGGCTAGCTATGACAGCATCAAGGTAGGTAATCTGCACGGCCAGCTATGATAGCATAAAGGTAGATAATCTTCACGGCCAGATATGATAGCATAAATGTAGGTAATCTTAACGGCTAGCTATGACAGCATAAAGGTAGGTAATCTTCACGGCCAGCTATGACAGCATAAAGGTAGGTAATCTTCACGGCCAGATATGATAGCATAAAGGTAGGTAATTCACGGCCAGCTATGATAGCATAAAGGTAGGTAATCTGCACGGCTAGCTATGACAGCATAAAGGGAGGTAATCTTCACGGACAGCTATGACAGCATAAAGGTAGGTAAGCTTCACGGCCAGCTATGATAGCATAAAGGTAGATAATCTTCACGGCCAGATATGATAGCATAAATGTAGGTAATCTTAACGGCTAGCTATGACAGCATAAAGGCAGGTAATCTTCACGGCTAGCTATGACAGCAGAAAGGTAAGTAATCTTCACGGCCAGCTATGATAGCATAAAGGTAGTTAATCTTCACGGCTAGCTATGACAGTATAAAGGTAGGTAATCTTCACGGCCTGCTATGACAGCATAAAGGTAGGTAAGCTTCACGGCCAGCTATGATAGCATAAAGGTAGGTAATCGTCACGGCCAGCTATGACAGCATAAAGATAGGTAATCTTCACGGCCAGCTATGACAGCATAGAGGGAGGTAATCTTCACGGCCAGCCATGACAGCATAAAGGGAGGTAATCTTCACGGACAGCTATGACAGCATAAAGGTAGGTAATCGTCACGGCCAGCTATGACAGCATAAAGATAGGTAATCTTCACGTCCAGCTATGACAGCATAAAGGTAGGGAATCTTCACGGCCAGATATGATAGCATAAAGGTAGGTTTTTCACGGCCAGCTATGATAGCATAAAGGTAGGTAATCGTCACGTCCAGCTATGACAGCATAAAGGTAGGCAATCTTCACGGCCAGCTATGATAGCATAAAGGTAGGGAATCTTCACGGCCAGATATGATAGCATAAAGGTAGGTTTTTCACGGCCAGCTATGATAGCATAAAGGTAGGTAATCTTCATGGCTAGCTATGACAGCATAAAGGTAGGTACTCTTCACGGCCAGCTATGACAGCATCAAGGTAGGTAATCTTCACGGCCAGCCACTATAACAGCATAAAGGCAGGTAATCCAAAAAGCTGTCTCAAGGTTTTTTTTTATTCCTGTCTAGTGGTGGATGAGGTAGGGCACGACCATGATAGCACAAAGGTAGGTAATCTTCACGGCTAGCTATGACAGTATAAAGGTAGGTAATCTTCACGGCCAGATATGATAGCATAAAGGTAGGTTTTTCACGGCCAGCTATGATAGCATAAAGGTAGTTAATCTTCACGGCTAGCTATGACAGCAGAAAGGGAGGTAATCTTCACGGCTAGCTATGATAGCATAAAGGTAGGTAAGTAGGTAATCTTCACGGCCAGCTATGTCAGCATAAAGGTAGGTAATCTTCACGGACAGCTATGACAGCATAAAGGTAGGTAATCTTTACGGCCAGCCGCTATGACAGCATAAAGGAAGGTAATCTTCACGGCCAGATATGACAGCATAAAGGTAGGTAATCTTCACGGCCAGCCACTATAACAGCATAAAGGTAGGTAATCCAAAAAGCTGTCTCAAGGTTTTTTTTTATTCCTGTCTAGTGGTGGATGAGGTAGGGCACGACCATTCTAATAGTGGACAAAATAAATTTAACATTAAAATACAAAAATTATATTCGAAAACAAAATAATTTCGGTAAGATTTCACTATACAAGGGAACAATTGTTGTTTTAAATTGAATATTTTTCAATCCAATCGTTTTATTAAACTGTAGTTACCCACCTTGAACCATTTTGTCCCTTAATTATAATTTATTATATTTTCAGAACAAGACTAAGAGGGACCGAGTGAAGAGTAACTTAATCCGATTTATTGATGAGTGACATTGCTGTTAAGCCTTCTGATATTATTGACTACCAGCATACTTACACGTACATGTATGTTTAATGCAAGTACCCTAGGGACAATGACACACAGCTATACTTACATGTCACTAGGGTCAAGGATGCGCAACCAAATGTCACACAGGTCAAGGACACTGTTGAAAACAATGTTTTTGATGCAGAAGTTGACTTATTTTACGCTTAAGTGGATTCCTTAATCTAACCTGGTATATCACATTAAGGAAATAATGATGCCATATTAGGGTAAAAACGTGCTTTATTAAAACTGATTACATTACCGATGCAGCTTAGGATCGCTCAACTAAACGCATGTTACGGACGGTGAATTCGATCTACATTTTATGCTTCATTGACCTCCTTAATGTCCCCTTTATTTAAGGAATGATTTTTATTTTTTCAACATTTATGAGGTAATAACAACAATGGGTTTATGGACATATTGAATGCATCGCGTTAGCGATTCATGTAAAATATGTCCAAAAACCCATTGTTGTTATGACCTCATAAATGTTGAAAAAATAGATATCATTCCTTATATTTACGTTGACGAATCCTTTCAGTGGATCGATATAACAACGAATAAAACAAATAAACAGGGTTTGTTCCTGCTTATACACGGGTGCAACGCAGTGGCGAGAACAGTGTTTTTTCGCGGGGAAATGTGACACTATCGTGAGAGATCTTAGCAACCGTCAACAACAATAACACAACAAAATGTAGTTCCATATTCAATGTTTATTTGTAGCACAGGACACGTGAATACGTGGATATTTCACAAAGCACAGTTCAATAATATTTTAAGATGTAAGAATTAAGCATCTAGGTCGGTCGTTCCGAGTGAGTAGTTTTTGTAGTGTGTTACTACGCAGTGTGATCAGGTTACTATCAGTTCCCACGTGCTGAGATTCTATGAACACCTGTGTTATGCATTTATGAATGTAATTTTTGTCAATGGGTCTAAGCATACAGAATGTAAATATATAAACATACAATACGTAACGGGGAATTTCCATTGTTTGCGTGTAGGGCGAATTTAACACTGTGCGAAAAAGGAATCTGCCCGTGAAGGACGAAAGTTTAACGGGGCGAAAGTTTCCCGGTATATAGTACCACATTAAGAAAAACTGTGAAAGCCGTATCTTGGTAACATTTATTACTATCTGGATGATGATATCGCAACAATGATGGTGATGGAGGTGCTCTGCTGAACACATATTACGTTTGCTGAATTTAACCTACATTTTACGCTTCAATGACTTTTGTAATAGCTGAAGAGCAATTGTTTCGTCTATATCTGGGTATAACTGAAACATTAATCATACTTTATATTATATCAAATGTTATAAATATAAAAAAAAACTTTTCTTTTTTGCACAATTGTGTAGTGTTTTGTACTACTCGTACTCATAGCCTGTTGTACATGTACCATAGCCTAGACATATAATGATGACCGGTCAACGGGGCAAAGGAGAGTTATGACAGCGTCCTGTCGTTACCTTTTAAGCACTGTCATTTCCGAGATCAGTATCCTTTCAATAGTGTGGTGAATACGGCGAGCAAAGGTTTGTCTATACACTATGCTGTACCCAATACAGAAGGCTTAGTCTACACTTTACACGTTATCATATTCGGTTCAAGAGACTAAAATCGGTAGAAGCAATCATACGTTGTTTTTCCCTCAAAACTTGAACTCTAACTCGTGACCGCGCCAGTAACAGAGCATGTTTAGAATGTGCCCGGTGGACACGTAGAGTGCGACAAACAGGCATTAATTAAGGCATCTTTCTTCAAAACAAACAATCTACGAGAGATGGCTTGCAACTTTACAGCAATTTTACATGGGAATTCAATACAAAACTGCGACTCCAAAGAAGGTGCCAGATGCTTTGTCCGTCTGCCACACGTCCCTGGCCTTCATTTCAAGTGTTTGAAGCCAGTCCTAATGAAGAGGATTATATTTTTCGTCTATACATGAATCATCATCGGCAGTTAATCGTCAACTCTCGATACTCCATGGGTTACGCTCATTTACGCCCTCTGCACCCTTGGAATATGTCATAGCAAAATTGAAGGCTCAGTGTGCGCCACCTTGTTGATGAGACAAGAAGATATGTTGATGCACATCAAAAGAGTCTCACAGTCGCGTAACGGTAGAAGTGACCGGCTGTGAAGTAATCTTCAAAGGACAGGAATCAGCCTAGTGATCGGTCTGGTTGTTTTTTTTACCTGAGACCAATCAGTTAGCTAACCACGTGCCTTGAATTTTGCCATGAGATATTCTAGGGGTGCAGAGAGCGAAAGTGAGCGTAATCCCTGGAGTATCTAGAATGTTAATATTCCTACTACATGTAGTTACCCTTTGTACAAATGTATGAATTTCTGCAAAGGACATCCTAGATATCCAGGGGTTAAGCTCACTTTCGCTCTCACCACCCCTGGAATATGTCATAGCAAAATTGAAGGCATGCAGATAACTATTTGATTGGTCTCAGATGAAAAAAATGACCAATCGCTAGGATGATACCTGTCCTTTAAAGATTACAAAAGAGAGACGCCCGACTTCAAAGTTTGTCAATTTTTACCGTTACCTGACCGCGAGATTCTTTTGGTGTACATCAAAGGATCGAACTAGTCTTCTTGTCTCATCAGCAAGGTGGCGCACACTGAGCCTTCAATTTTGCTATGACATATTCCAGGGGTGTTGAGAGCGAAAGTGAGCGTTACCGCTGGATATCGAGGATGTGCAAAGGAAGGATTCCGATGTTCAGCGTGCAGAAACCAATCACATATCTATTCCCTTTAAAATTGTTGCTCTCGAACATGCTTGTGAATATAATATTGGCACTGAAGATAGTATTGGTGTTGCTGTTGTAGCTCGTTCAAAGACGACAATCACGTCTTCAGCGTCTGACAAATCCCCGAAATTCAAGGGATTTTGCTTTCTTACGTTTTCAGCACTCCTGGAATATGTCATGACAAACTCGAAGGGTCTGTATGTGTCACAATGAAAACTCTTTTACCCTTTGATGAACATCAAGAGAATTGTTTGGAAGCGTAACTTTAAAATTGAAAGTCGGATTCGCTCCTCTGTAATCTACAAAACGCATGCATCAGCCTAGCGATTGGTCAGGTGTTTTTTTGTTTTATTTTGCCTGAAACCAATTAAATTGCTTACTACTTGTCTTCAATTTTGTCATTACATATATCTTCAAGGGGTGTAGAAATGGTGAGTGAGCGTTACTCCTGAAAATTCGAGAATGCGTCTGACCGGATCTTCAGTCAGGTATGACGACCTACATCCATACAAACATTTTACACGAGCTCATAGTACACATGTACCACTACATGATATAATGACCTGTAAAGTCTACTTTTGATAATTGTGTACGGACTAAAAGAGACAGACAGAGGAGAGAAGCATCCGGAGATTTCCGGTTATTCATAGTAGAAGGAAGGAAACTGTTTTTACAACTATTATTCGGACAGACTAATTAAGTTACCAGATAAATTTGGACTCTGTAAACAAAAATATATAACAAATGTTACCTTATTTTAATATCAAAATAAAGAGAAGAAATAGACGAGGGCCAAGAACAAAACCTTGAGGAACACCATGAGTTAATAGTTTAGTGTTGGAATCGCGGAATCAAAGACTACACTTTATTTTCTGACAGATGATTAAACAAATCATAAAACTTACATTTTGTGTGTGATCATTGTTACGTTGGTGTAATAGGCCAAGACGCCAAACTTTGATTTGTGTCACGGAAAACAAAGCGAATGAGTTGAACTGTTTTTGGCATTTGCAGTCTTTATGAATGGCACAGCTTTGCATAACATTATGATTTGTTAGCCCGAAAGCTGTGCTATTCGTATAGCATGTTAATGCCTTATCAATATAGTTCAATGCTTATACAAGATACAAGATATACAAGATACAAGAATTTTTATTTAGAGTCGTGTTTGTAACAATGCAACTTTAGCTCAGAAGAGCTATTCTTACGACTATTATAACAATCATAATTAATAGAAACAATAACATATCACAAATGTAGCATGCATCCCATATGATTGAATAAAAGGTAAAATAGCACGGTAATTAAAGGTCATGCGAACATAAAGCTCATGAAGCATATACATTAATTTAAGAGACGTTTCAGTCTAATGTACATATATGCCAATATGGCAAAAACTAAAAATTGACACAATACATGCTAATATAGCATAATCTAAAACAACAATGCATACATTTATGAAACAATATTTAGGAATTTGCAGCATAAAAGAAAAATTACACAAAAGAAAGTAAAGCATCACTAAGAACTAAAACTTGTACATGACAACTATTTCTGGAGCAATAAAAACGCAAAAACCCCACAACCTAGAACCAAAAATCAATCCTTCATCTGTGTACAGATGGAACATGTACAGATGGGACCATCCCAAGTGTGGACCAGCCTCCGGAATTCTGGGAAGTATTCACATCTCCGCAATTTATTTGGAAGATTGTTCCACACTCGGGCCACCTCAAACGAGAAGGATTTCTGCCCATACCTTGTAGTTTTTACAGATGGGATTCTGACTGTGAAGTCCCTTCTGAGATCATAAGCAGATTCTCTTAGTTTTACTAAATCACGTATATAATTAGGAGAAATATTGTGTAGTATATCAAAAACTTCACAGCCCATATCTTTTAGCCTCTTAACGTGTAAAAGAGTACTATTAGTAGATTTTAAAAGCTGACTAAAAGATGAGACATAATCACTCTCCACGAATCGCAGTGCACGCCCTGAATATTTTCCATCTTTCTCACACTTTTCAAGCTAGTAAAATGCCAAACCAGTGGGCAGAAATGAAAACTAGATATACTAAAAGAATTGTATATGACTCTCCTACCTTGTTTTATTAAAAAAAAATCCAATTCTTTTAAGAACATTAAGCTGTCTAGAAACCCTTTGAACAAATTTCTGAAACATGTGTATCAAAATTTTGAAATGAGTCAAAACTGACACCAAGTAGCTTCACAGTTTTTTCAGGCTCAATGGTTATATTTTCAATTTTGAAAGAATTAAAAGTCTCAATAGTTTTCCTACCTAGACATATGGCCTGAAATTTAACAGGATTTGCCCTCATGTGGTTTTTGTCAAACCAGTTAACCAAGTTTGAACAGTCTGTTTCAATGGACTGCTTAAGAACAAGAGGGTCCTTGTTGGATGAGGTCACCGTGTTGTCATCCGCATAATTATAGAGTTTGGATGATTTGGCATATACGAACATATCATTAATAAAGATGTTAAAAAGAAGGGGCCCCATAATTGAGCACTGGGGGACTCCCTTGGGCACTTCCAACCAGTCGCCGCATTTGGAGCCCAACTTGACCTGTTGTAATCTGTTACCCAGATAGCTAGATACCAGGTCCACTGAGCCCGAGCTGAGACCATACGCATCCAACTTTCTGAGCAACAGATCATGATGAAGGCAGTCAAAAGCCTTGGACAGATCCATGAGGATGGCAGCGACATACTCACGGTTGTCCAATGCCCTGCGCCAGCCCTCAACTATCTTAACAGGGCAGTTTGGCATCCAAATCCTGATCCGGAGGCTGCTAAGAAGGAATGAAAAATACCATGAAGATATTCTCTGAGCTGATCACTCATAGCTCTTTCAAAGAGTTTGGAGATACATTGTAAAATACTAACAGGCCTAGCTGTAGTTTTGCTTGTCCAAGGCATCCCTCTTCTTAAAGATAGGTACAACCTGTGCTACTTTAAGTTGACTAGGGAAAGTATTTACGTTAAAACTAAAATTTATCACATGACTTAGAGCATAGCTGATGCTTTTACTACTTGCCGGCAAAGCTGTCATTAAAGTTACCAGTTTTAGAGTATTTTATTATAGAAATTAAAAAAATACCTACATACATTCTGCATTAGTATATTATTATATCGTATATGGTTTTTTCAATGAATATAACAGTTATCTTTATGGATGGTCAGTGGTATCCAACGTAACAATTACGACATCATAATATTGATAACGTCAACACGTGGGCCATGGCATTTACAGCCTGTATGAATGCCATAGAAAGTTGGTAGGGTATACATGTTACACGGACAGGACACGAGTCACAACAATGTTTTCCTTTATCATCAATTCAATGTTGAAGCTTTGAATTGTGATATGGCAGATATATATTTATATGAATGAGACAGATTTGCCGGCAAACACCATAATGCCCTATCATTCATACATAGAGGATATTTAATTGTGTCTTCAGTAATAACAAATATGTTTCACGAGTGTGGCAAATATTTTCATATTTTTCACGAGTGGGTAGCGGTAACGTTGTGACGCTAAAATAACGTCACAACAGACGCTATGGCTAACGCACTCGGAACTCCTTGGATGGCTGGATCTTCGCACGCTAGCCACTCGATGTCTGCCGAATGATGGCTAACGGGATATTTTTATTTTCATTTCCGGATTTAGCACTCCCGTCGGGTCGTTTTCAGCGTTATGAGGGCCCCAAAAAGGTATGACAAACGCTTTAATTGGTCGTTCAAATTGTAGTCAGAATTGAGCCTTTAACTGACGTAGATGTACTCTTAAAAAATATCATTGAACATCAAACAGCTGTTAATTAATGAAATGTTGTCATAAAACAACATTAACGAAGTGTTAATGGTAAGTACTGTTCCAATATTTTGTCTTACTTTGGAAATACAATCGTTTCTCTTCGGATGCTAAAGGAGATCGTCGAATTATACACGACACGAGACACACCCACTTGTTGGGGCTGGGATGACAGCTGGCAAACGATGATCAATGACTGTACGCTCAGCTGGTTTACCAAGTAACATGAGTTGCACGTATCGTGTAAGAGTATTTTTAAAAAGTTGTGATCTCCTAAGCCTTCCTGAAGTGTAGAAATCCATATTAGAGGCACCATAAAGAAGAACAACCAAGTGCCTCCCAAGCATGAGTAACCTCAGCTATAGCCAGAGTAACCTCAGCTATAGCCAGAGACTGGAAAGACTCCAGCTACCAACAGTAGCCTTCAGAAGAGCAAGAGGGGACATGATAGAACTACATTTAATTATAAATGGAGTATACGACCAGGAATGCTGCAATATAGTAGTGTTATGGGATGAGGCCGCTCAACGACTCAGCCGTCGAGTAAACTCAAAAACGATATACCCAAAAAGCTCTTCAACCATGCTAAGAAAAAAACACACCAATAAAATCAGCATCAACATGGAATAAACCACCTGAATATGTTACTTCAGCAAATAATGTTAACAAATTTAAAAATGAACTAGACAACCACTGAAAAAACCAAGAACTTTTTTTAAATTACAGAGCTGCAATCCAATAGTTGTCAAATTGTATATATTATACGCTTTATGATACTTCGTATGTATTTTTTTGAGTTTGGTATAGAGGGCTTTATGTATAAGTCCTGAACCGGAAATAAACTAATCTTATCTATCTTATCTTGGGAAACAGTACTATATTTTTTTTAAGTTTGCCCTTTAATGATATTATTTATTTCGGATAACATTGATTTTGGGAATATAAGAAATAAATGAATTGTTCATAAAATCCAGCTTGAATAATAATTTCCTGACAAGAGGAATATTAGACTGCTCAAATAGTATTAAAACTGGGTCTGTTTTTAACATATAAATTTAAAATATTGTGCTTACGAAAAAAACATAAATATGAATCCAACATTTTTCAGTGGCCTGAACTATTTCTATTCCTTCAAAATCTGGAAATATATGACCTAGAAAGGTAAATAAGTAGGTAAAATAGAGGTGAAGGTCAACTTTAAGGTCACAAAATTATATTATTTCCATCAATTGCTGCATAATACAGGAACCTCTGTTCCTTTATGTCAAATACCCAGCTTTGAATCTGTACCACACTGTGTGACTGTGTAATCATGTTTTTTACCACACAAGGTAGTGTAAACTGTACACATGCATGCATCATGCTGGTATGTCCTTGCATGTGTTTGTAAGGTAATAAAATCTGGTTCCAGAACTCTGAATTGAAAGGAGAAAATCTCATAAAGTGTATTATTACCTAAATAAATGTGCTCCTAAAATTACTAAATTAATTTGTTTTCAATATTTTCAATATTGGATGAGAAAATGAAGAAAGTCGTTTATTGTAAATGTAGAATGTTCACACTTTTTAAATGAATGTTATATACATTGTATATAAATAGTGTAGATATAGTGCTGTTATTCTGTTGCAGTGAGGTGTGTACCGGCTGGTGGATAGACGATGAGCCAGGCTCCCCTCTCCATGGTGTACCGTAGTGACAAACAGCTGCCAGCGCTGTTCCATACCTTACATGGATTTTACCGTCTGGGGACATTCTGTGATGTGGTCCTTGTGACCTCTCACTGCAGAATCCGCGTTCACAGTGTCATAATCGCAGCATTCAGCCCGCTTCTGTATCAGATGCTCGGTGGAGAGAGTTGGTCGATTGAGCGTCGACAGCTGGAATTGTCACTGCCAAATGTTGACTATATTTCCTTGTTGAGTCTGGTAGAATACTGTTACACTGGGGTCATCACAGTTGATTCCTCCTCAGCTGACAAGATCTTGGGAGTAGCTATAGCTCTACAAGTGAAGGAGGTGGAGAGATTGTGTGTCACATTTCTTAATGCACAGAGAAGTTTCTCATCAGAGGTTAATATGCCTATTACAAAGTTACTAACTTCATGAATATGTATATTGCATAGATTTGTGAAATTCATCGTTTTTAATTTGACATTATTTAAGGAAAATATTTGAGTTTAATCACTGTTCCATTTATGAGATAAAAATGTAAGCATTAACTGTTTGTATAAGCATGGATATTCTACTTCTATTACTAACTGTGAACATGCTTTAATATTCTATTCATGCTTCAGTAAGCATGGGTATTCTCATTGGTCAATCTACAATTTATTTCCATGGGTTCTTTTCAGCTGTATTGCTAAAAGCAATGGGTCCCACAATGTTTAATTTGAATATTTTCAGAAATTCTATGAGTCCCATCAAAATTCTTAGTATAGGACTGGAGACTTGTATGTAGATTTATATATATTCACATTAGTATTCTATGTACTCCTTTAAACTAGTTTTAACATATATTCTGAAGAAGTAATTGACTTACTGCAGAAAATGGTTGTTTTTATCTTTTTTTTTTCTTTTTTTTTTCTGTGATATTTTCTTCTTCCTACAGTTGGTATTGGATTCAAGGCCTCCAGGCCTAGTGGCAGCATCTCCTGGTAGGGGAGGTAACTCAACATTTGTGGAGATATCAAGTTCAGAGCGGTTCAGCCCTAACGTGTCAACATCAGGTCAGCCATCTTCAGAGACAGGATCGACTGGCCACCCTGACACAGTACACTTAGATTCTGATGTTATTGCGGTGAAGACAGAGACACCAGATCAGCCCTTTGATTATGGTTTGTATATAAGGCACATTTTCTGGAGGGGAGGTTATGAAAAATCTTGATCAGTAGTGTTCTAGATACAGTACAACTATGTATAACATAACCAAAGGGACATTGCTCAACAATAAAACATGCCTATATCAGTCCTCATGGGACATAATGCTTAAGTAAAACATACATAGTTATTATAAACCCAAGGGGCATAATTCTGCATTAAAACATGGTTATAATAAACACAAGGGACATAATCTACAGTAAAACACATGCCGCTTTCGTTTATCACGATCCAAAGGGTTGGACCAGGTGATACAGAGTTGTTCATTTATGAAATAAGATCTGACCTGGAAATTTGATGCTGCTGTCATGCAAGTCTTGACAAAGCCTTGCTAGGCCCGAATAAACAGTTGCGTGCCCGTAAATGTTACATTTAAAAAAAGACAAACCAGTTGTTCAGCAAAAAAGGCCCATGATTTTGATCTACAGTAAAACAATGTTTTGATAAAACTTCAGGAACCTAAAGAATTTGATAAATTGTTTGATACTCACAAGACAACTGCTTCCCAGGAAACAAAACGAAATTTCTGCGAAGCATGAAATTACCATAATAATGATCTAGTTAAATTGTTACTGTCATGATGAGGTAATGAACAATTGAATCTAAGGCAAGATTTTAAGTTAATCTCTATGTTTTTGCGTTTAACATGAATATAAACCATCAAAAGTTAAACTGTTTTATCTAGAAATATTAAAAATGTTATATTTCATCTATTTTACATGTAAGTTCAATTGAATTGAATTAGTTAATGCTTGAATTGTATCCAATAATCATCTTGTAGTGGATTTCATCAAGGTTGATTTCCAGTAGCCAGATACATGTAATTCAATTGATAGAATTTGGCTAGCACATTTTCTCTTCTATGTTATATATTAAACTGCATGTCTTATGGAATGATGTTCCACCTTCCAGATGCTCACCTGTTGCACCAGTCACGAGGACGTGTCATATACCTGGAGGGATCGGATAGTCCTGCTGCAGACAGTCACAGACCTGGAATGTCCACAGTGTCTCATAGCATCATTGACATGTCCAAGATGTCCCCCACCCTTCTTACCATGCACCCTATGTTAATGCCAACAGCACCACCTACCCTCCAACTCATGTCCCCAAAAGGGGAGACAACCCTAGCTCGACAAGCTTCACAATACAGAGAGAGTAGTCGGGACGCTGCGGGTAGTGAATCTCCAGAAAGTGATAGTGTCAGCGTGCAAATTCAGTCTCCAACTGGTCAAGTGGAGAACGAACAGTCACAGGAAGTAGCAAGAGATGATCGTAAGCTGTCAGTGACACTTACTTGCAGTGTGTGTCATGTGCTATTCAATAGTACTGAAGCCCTGACTCGTCACATGGCTATTCACCAGAGCAGTGCCATGTCTCCTGGTACACAGCAGGGCTCATCAGTTCTTAACTCCCAGATGGAGCCGGTAAAGCAACCCTCACCGAATTTCTATCAACGTGTCCATCAGCCTATATCTGGACTGTTGTCCTCGGCAGTGGTGCAGGGTGGGGGTGGACTCTTTAAGTGTGGAACATGTGGCAAAGGTTTTAAGGATGCTCAGTCCTTGAAGTTTCACAGATACAATCATGTCCTTCGACACTCGTGTAACATGTGTGGGAAGCGTTTTTCAAGGAGTTGGAATCTTCATCGGCATCGGAAAACACATTTCCGAATGCCCTCCTGGCCAATGCGTACGGATATCAGGGTCAACGACATAACTGAGTCAGCTACTGCCGATAGTCTGAATCAATCTGAAGACATGGATCAGTCTGTAGATTTGACAGAGGGGGATGATGATGCTACGGAAAGAGAGGAGGAGGAAGAAGAGGAGGAGGAGGAGGAAGATGAAGGAAGGGGTGACCATGTGACAGATCTATTGAGTGGAGACATGGCATGACCATGCGTTGCATTTCGATTCAGATAATATTCTTACTTTATATATAAAAAGTCACTAAATTTTATCAGGTTTTAAATTAAGACATTTCATAGATATACAATGTCTGTGTTTGTTGAAGAACAGTCATATTTGCCATTTTTTTCTAAGTGTGTTTTTAATGTATGTGTAACTGTTATATTGAATATAGTTCATATTTTTTAAATTTCATTTTTCCAATACTAATTCCAATACAGAAACACAGAGGTTATAATGATATACATCTGACACAATTCACAAGGTGTATTTCAGTGGGATTTAATTTTAGTGAAATGATTGTTAAATTTTAGATTGTTAAAATAATATATTTAAAAAAAAAATCTAACAAATGTTATGGCTTATTAGTTAGGTATTCTTCCAGGAGAGCGCTAACTTAGGTATTCTTCCAGGAGAGCTAACTTGTATACTTAAATAGGATTAGCACCCTAGCTTATCAAATTGACAAAACAGGACTGTAAAACCTCGTTATAATGCCAACATTTGTTCAGAGAACTTTTGGCATTATAAAGGGGTTTGGTAATCGTTTGAGGCAAAAGTATAAAGGAATTATTAGTAAAACAAGAAAAAGGGACATTGAAATATGTTGGTGGTAGACAAGGTGGCAAATGAAACGAGGGGCATTCTATGGAGGTTTCACTGTAGTTATCTACTACAGAAGGTACATTGACTGTAGATGCCAACTATAGGGTTATACAAACTAGTAGGGGGCCGCGGTGGCCAAGTGGTTAAGGCATCTTGACATCCTGCTTTCACTTGCCCTCCACCACTGGGTCGCGGGTTCGAGGCCTACGTGGGGCAGTTGCTAGGTACTGGCCGTAGGTCGGTGGTTTTTCTCTGGGAACTCCGGCTTTCCTCCACTACCAAAACCTGGCACGTCCTTAAATGACCATAGCTGTTAATAGGACGTAAAACACACACAAACCAAACTAAACAAACTAGAAGTCTTTCAAAGATTATCAAAATTTAAGTTTCCAATCGTTTTTCATACTGAATTTCTTTTTTTTAAATTTCAAAAAATTTCAGGTATCTGTTTTCTTTTGTTACTGATTTACCAGGAACATGCAGTCACATGTCAAAAGTTACCGGTAAATAAGTAACGAAGCTGTAATATTAAGGATTCACTTTTACATTATACATTAATTGCCCTTGTTGCAGGGGAACACGATTCTTTGTTTCCCCGAGATTAATTATGTTTCATGAGGGCGAGGCTTAAGTAATTAAAACATGATTAATTGAGGAAAATCAAAGAATACTTGACATGTTGTTGTACTAAACTAGAAAAATAACTTGAAACTCATGTGTGGTTGCTTTTACCGATTTTTCTAGAGAAGCTCAAGCTCCGAATAAGTGAAATATGACTAAGGAACCTTTTGCACTTGAGGGCTTCACAAATTCCCTGTCATATGATCAATATATATAGGATCTTACATGAGTTTCCATTTCATATGAGATTTATGAAACGAGTCTAAGAATTTTTCAATTTAAAGGCGAGCTAAAATGAAAAATTTGTGACGAGTTTCATGAATTTTATATGAAATGACAACGAGTGCAAGATCCTTTGTATCACATAATCAAGATCTGTGCCATTAATTCGTGTAAAACGACAATTTTCATGCAACCTTGAAATGTAAAACGCCCCTATTTTGACTCCAGTGCGTTAGTCTGCGACGTCATGTACTTGTCTAGGCCTGACGTCACAATTGAAACTTTTAACCAATCACAGGGCTGATAGGTCATATTACATGGGTTAATACGCCAAAAAATATAACATGGGTATATTCACTGGATAACACAGTACATTATGTGATAAAATCCAATCATACCTGCTCTTCTATAGAGGAAGTACAGTTATAAGATAAATTCCTCAAGAAAAATGGCTCGTTTAAATGCCGTCAAAACCAAGGTAATTTGTTGGGCTGAAAATGCTGTAAAAAAGCATCTACAATGTACTTATATATTTTGTGCATAATTTTTTTCTTAAAAAACAATATCCAGGTGCTCAGAAAATTGACCTCCGACATGAATCTTTGACACAAACGTCTACCATTTAGTGTCATTAATTAATTAACTATATTATTTGTATTTATATTACAGTAATAGGGTTTTTATTTGTATAAATGCATTTTGTTTTAATACATGTATGTACATCTTGTTATTTAAAAATATGTGTATAATTTATTAAAATAAAAATGTCATCTGCTCTTGTGATGTCCGGATCTGAATGATGACAAGTCAAGATTATTTTGTAGTGTACTTCAATTCTTTGTTGGTCATTGTTAAGTATGGTACTAGTATAATGTTATATTAAATTAAGTAGCATTACTTAAGTTATACATGATCTGGTAAGGATTGTTCATAGTACACAATGTGTTGGATGTTTAAAAGTTTAGCCAGACATTGTCCAGTCATTATCCAAGTATTTATATTGTTGTTGGATTGGAGTCTGAAATGACACATCGTTTTTAAAAAAAATAAAGCTAATTAAAAATGATGGGAAAGTGGTTTTTTTGTATGAAATGAAGTATGTCGCATGAAAAATAAATTCACAATACATTCTACTTCATCATCTTTAAACATTCAACCCCTCCCCCTTGCTTAAATACAACCCCAAACTTCTTTCTACTTAACCTGAAGAAAATGGACAAGTTTGAGGGTTGCCATTAAGATCCCACAGGGAAATATCCTATTTCTTTGAGTGGTACATCCATTAACTCATTACCCCCTGAAGACACATTTAAACTCTTCCAATTCAGAGGTTGGAATAGTTCATTATGAAATTTCAGGGGTGAATGTGTTAAAGTTGATGTTTTTGATTATATGCTGATTAGAGTACTTTGTGGTTTTGTTGTCACTACCCGAGTTCACAATGTGAGAACGTTATATTATACTTGGACTCGACATAATGATTTACATGGCAGACATCATAAAAAATAAATAAGAACCTTACCCCTCTGGAACACCTGGTCTTATTCTCCTTGTACTATTCCAGGGGTCTCCATGTCTTTCCTCTGTTTATATTTTGCCCTGGTTTTATTGATTTGAGTTTGAATTATATATATAAAAAATGACACTTCATCATCCCCTGTTGATTTCACAGGATAAAAAGGGACTTACAGGCCTTTAAGGCATCTGACATTCTGCTACCACTAGCCCTCCACCAATGGGTCGCGGGTTCCAGGCCTACGTGGGGCAGTCGCCAGGTACTGACTGTAGGTCGGTGGTTTATCTCCGGGAACTCAGGCTTTCCTTCACCACAAAAATCTGGCATGCCCTTAAATGACCATAGCTGTTAATAGGACGAAAAACACAAACAAACAAACAGAAGCCTTTATCTTTTGACTGGTTTGCTTTTGTTTCTCACATATTGGTACATGTATTTCATTCCCTTTAGCTTTAATGTCGATGAAAACAATTCAAGACAAATTCATCATGAATCTATGTCTTGTGACTCTGAAGAAGAATTTGTAAGAATTTTTAAAACATTTGACACCTCAGGAAATTAGTCAAGGTTACATCATTTTGTGTTTGAACAAACTTGATAGGTATTTACTCCAGCAAGCTACAAGGGCATATATCTTCAATCTAAGGCCTCAAGGTTCTTTAGATTTTAAAACACTTGACCCCTGTGACATTTAAAGTTGATCAAGGTCATTTATTTGAAAAGCATGATAATGTTCTGCAACAGCAACTGAGAGGCAAACAATTTTGTCTTGTCCTCATTGTTCTGTATAAGAAGTTGTTGGAGATTTTTTAACACATACAATCCCAGTAACCTTCAAAATGGGTCATGATGATTTAAATCTTTCAGAGCCCTTGACCACATCACACTCGGACCTTATTTAAAGGATAAATGAGGACAGATGTCACACAATGGCATTATAAGCTCACTTTGCAGTAGGTGAGCTTTAAAACAAAGAAATAAGACCACTCAACTATTGGGGTAGTTGATGATTTAATGTGTAATGACATTCTGATACAGAAGTTAATACTGACACAGTAGATATCACGCTGACAATTAGTGATTACATTTCAGAATGAGACCCGAGTATTTTTCCTCTGTAGAGACATTGATGTCCTTCAAACGCACTATACTAAAAGTTAATGACGCTCACATAACATCACTATTCCTGATTTCTATTTTAACAAAGACAAATACTGTGACAAATGGCGCTGATCATATTATCATGTTCCTATTAGAATGTGTCAATGCCAGGATACATTTAATACTTGTAATAATTACAATGACTCATTACCGCTCTCCAGTAATTAACAAGAGGCCCATGGGCCTAAACGGTCACCTGAGTCTACAGTATTTATTTTTGTTGTTGAAATATGTACCAATTTGAGTAAAAAATAGTATAATGTTAACTTAACTTTGTCAGGACCATGAGCTGATCATTCCTAGACCAATTTTAAGTGAGATCGGCCTATTAGAACTTAGTAGCAAAATAGC